ATTATTTTGATAGAATTTTGACTTCATATTCCAAAATTGATCTCGGATAAAGGGTGGTAAGAAAGTAATAGTAAATAAAAGCAGTATCTGGAACTAAGTGTACAATTTTTGTGGCCAGTAAAATGGGATATAGGAGTGCAGAATAGTAGTTTTTTAAGAAAGTGTTTTGTTTGTTTGTTTGTTTTACCTTACTTTTGCCTACCTTTCTGATAAAAGTCTCTTATCTTTGCTTTTTCTTAAGACTTTTCTTCAAACGGCTCCTGGTTAGTAAAGTAATAAAGATAAGGAAAAGGTTTATTAAAAATGAGTTTGACTATGACTATTTACATCTATATGAAAGAATTTGTGAATCGTACAACTCTCAAAATTAATTTGGAATGATCCCAAAGTGGGAAATTATCACTAATAATAGCAAATGCTTTATTCTTTAAGAATAAATCAACTCAGCTAATGATAACGAACTATAATTTCATTTGATAATTTAAGTTTTAAAAATGTTTCCTGGCAAAAAGAAAATTTAGTCGAGTGCTCTGTTAAAATCGAAAGTTTCTAGAGAAATGCTCTAGATAACTACATATTATAATCACCAAATATCGCCATTTATTATTAAAATAACAAAGAAATATTAGAAATTATCATTTATAGAACTGTAAATATGTGGATATATTTTTCCTAACTATCCAAGATTTTTTCGTTTTTTCCTATTCACTTGAATATTACATTCAGATTCTCATCTTGTCTCATTATGCTCACCTCTCACTTCTAATTATAAATTGGATAATTTTTCAGGCCACCTTTGGCAGCCACTCAAACCCATTCCTCATGTCTTTAAACTTCTTTTCCCACCTAATCTTGTTTTTGCCTCAGCTAATAGAGCTTTACCCTTTCTGTAGCTCTAATCTCTTTCACCTGTCACTCAGAGTTCTAGGCTAGGGAATTTTGCAAATCAAATAAAAAACAGAACAATGAAATCAGGAAGTTGTTCTTTGCCTGCTTAGGAAAAGAGTTTTTACATTATGAACAGGAAAGGCCTTCAGTTTTTACCACTCTAGGATTTCTAGGAAACCAAATCTTCTTATGGAAATCAGAAAGACTGCTAGCCAGTTGGAATAATTTTTCATTTTACTTTTATACTAAATGAGCACATAAGCTACATAAAGCAAGAAGCAGGAGTGGTTTTATTTATGACTCCTCCTTGTCAATCTGCTTATACACATTCAAAAGTACTGGATTAAGAACCAAAGAGGCCTGAACTGAATACAGATTCCATTTGCTCAAAACTTGTTTGTGCAAATCATATAATTTCTGTTTTGCTTTTTTTCTTAATTGATAAAAAGAGGATGATAATATTTGCCCAGTTTGCTCCAGATTACTTTAGGTATCAAATGAAATAATGTGTAAGAAGCATTTTGTAAACTATGAAATTCCATCCAAACTGAGCTGTATTAGGCAATATAAGATTTATATTACTCTATGTTAGAATGGTCATTTCCACTATCCAAACAGAGGCAAAATATGACTCCTGGGCTTGACTACAAACTTATTCTATCAGAATCTACAGAGGCAAGGCCAGCCGCCTGTTTTTTTAACAAAGACACCGAAGTTTGAAAAATACTATAAAATACTACACCATTTGCATTTCTGCTGTACTCCCCTACTTCAATGGAAGTTTAACTGTATGTATTACTTTTCTAATCATCTTGACACTATTTGCTTAAAAGTAACAAAAGTTTTGTGTTGTCACAAAACAAATAGAATTAAAATAAAAAAAATAAGTAATTTAGATTTCAACTACAACTGTTTTATAAACATTTTTAAGTTTAAAAAGCAAAACTTGTTATGTGTGACACAGTGGATTGTAAAATAGAGAACTAAGAATGATTACATAAATATAAATCAATTTCCTAGAGGAATTATTATAATTTACCTCATTAACTTCGTTCATGTCAAACATTAACATATTCAATAGCTCCTAAGATAGTGTGTTAGTTCTTTACATCTCAATTACCCCAGTGAAAATTCACAGATATTTTAAAACACACCTTTCTAAGTATCCATAGGTGAAATCTACCATACCTGAGTTTATCAGTATGCAACTGATGTTACTTCAGTTAAACTTTCGTGTTTAGAGTTAACTAAGTTCCAAAAGAACAATTTAGGAGGTACTATAACTATCATCTTTATCATCATAGCCTTGTTATAAGGGTGAAAAGAGAAAGGAGTTGCCTACTTAAATGGGGTAGTAGTTATTACTAAATCTCGTAGAGTGGAAGAAACAAAGCTAGGATCCAACCAAGATAACCCAAAACAATAAGAAATGTGAATACATACAATAAACGATGAATAAATAATTGTGCCTAGGTTGAGACTAAAATTATATTTTTAAAGATTACACCTGGTTTAAAAGATTAACCTTAATCATCACTATGACAAGTATTTCCAGATTTCATCCTAACATGTTTAGGAGACTAAAGTTATTGATCTTAAGTGTTTAATTAGAGTATGTGTTAGTAATAATACTAATATATTCTCAGAGGCTATATTAACCTGGAAGCAATCCAAATATCCATCAGGAGAATGGATGAATAAATTAGGATATATTCATATAATGGAATATTCTATTATGACAGTAAAAATTAATGAACTATAATTTCACAGTAACATAAATAAAGAACATTACGATGAGTTACAGAAGTTAAAGAAAAAGCAATATGATTTCATGTACAAAAAGTTAAAAAACATGCAACACTAAATAACAATGTTTATGGATGCATTGTTAAATACTATGGTAAAATTACAAAGAAAAACAGGGAAATTATAAACTCAAGACAGTTTCCTCTAAGGAGGGAAAGAAAAGAATATGAATGGGAAAGGAGTACACAAGAATATAAAGGGAACGGTAATTTTCTTAAATTGAGTGACAGGTCACAGGTGATTTCTGTATTGCTTTTGTTTATTTTGTATTCTGGCTTTCCAAATACTGTTTTATAGGTATTCAGCATTTAGCAAAAACAATTAATGTTTGATGTCTTCCTTTTCTATACTTTTTCTGTAATAAAACAAGTTCCTGATTTTAACAGATTTCAATTCCTTCTTTCAACAGCCTCAGTTAGAATTGAATATACATATACTTTAAATAGTTCTATTATTGCGCCTAAGATTTTAAAAAATCTAAATCTAACTTTAAGAAATGAAAGATAACTAATTAAAAATAAGGGCAATTTTTGTAATAAAATTTAAATCAGAACTCATAAAAACAACTTCGTAATCTTTCAAGTGGTTAGTAAATCAATTATATAGGCTATATTTTTTTTTTTACTTAAGATGGACATCAGTAACAAATTTCCTAACTGAACAAATATCTTCAGATCTCAATTTTACTAAAAATCTGTTCCCAAGGAACCTTCTCTTAAGAAATTCTATAATATGCAAAAACACTTTAGAAACACTTTTTTTAAAAAAAGGCTTATTCTTATAGGTTACCTACATATAACAAAATTCTTTACATAAAACCTGGAAATGCTTAAGCTTTAGTGGATTGTTCTGGTTTACACGTGGATTTACTGAAAACTGCGTTAATACATATTAATCACGTAGGGAAAAACTAAGAAATATTTTTTACCTTTCTACAAAAAAAAATTCTCAAACAGAAATACAATTGGTTAGCATGGAAAGTGTTGAAACAGTGAAATCTACCAAGTTTTGCTTGTCTCTATCGAAATATAATTTACATCGCAAACACAGAGAGAGGGGGAGAGAGGGGGAGAGAGAGGGAGAGAGACGGAGAGAGAGACGGAGAGAGAGAGACAGAGAGACGGAGAGACGGGGAGAGAGAGAGAGACAGAGAGACAGAGAGAGAGAGAGAGAGACAGAGACAGAGAGAGACAGAGAGATCTGTATACGGTTTCGTCTGTGGAAGTGGTTTCCAGATTTAACCTTATGTTCGAAAGGTTTGTTTTTCCAGCATCAAGGTTTATACTTAAGTAACAGTTTGTCTGAAGCCTACCAATTATCAACACAAGAGTAAAACAACAGCTTTTAGAACCATTTTAGGTCAATAGCAAACAATTCTAAAGAGCTCAATTACATACTCATTTCCCCCACAAATTGAAATTTTGAAGAGAAAAAATGTAAAGCCAAACTTGTAAAATTCCTCAGTAAAAGGATAAGTATTCTATTTTTCCTCAAAGTAATACCTCTTAGCTCTTCCTTGGAATTTTCCAGTTTTGAATTGAAATGCAGTGACACTAACGCCAGAGACACTTCCTTCCCAGAAATCTAGAGATGGTGTCTTATAAATTACCTTTGATTATTTTAATAAGTCTCATATAAAATGCCAACCGCTAGTATCTTGATTAACCTCCCCTCCCATTATAGTTTAGAGAGATTTCACAGTAATTTTCGTATTGCACACCGTCTGTTATAGAAACTAATAATCAATTTATTACGAGTATATATTTCACAGAAACTTTGCCTCTTAAGCCTAGGGCTTACTTTTTCGTCCTGCCCTTCTTACCTAAAAGTTTAAGGATCAGGATCCTTTTTAAAACGTCAACTGAAACTCACAATTCAAAACTACCAACCCCGCCTACCCCTTAGGTTTTTATTTCATAGGAGGATAATTTCTTAAAGAGTACTTTAAAAGCCCTATACCTTTTTTTCCTTCATCCGTAAGATTTAAGCTCTGAGAACAGAAGTGAGGGGCCAAGGCTAGTATGAAATCTGAGGAAAGAGGTGTGGCGGAAGGTTAAGAAGAGCTGAGTTCGACAACGGAAAATACTAGAAGCTTTGCTGGGTGACGAAAACCGTTAGGCGCTGGGTTAGACTAGGGTGCACGCGAAGAACGCGGGGGGGAGGGGCGTAACCTCTTGCCCACTAGCCCCTCAACGGCCTCCAGCTACCGCAGCCCACCCTAACCGCCTCCTCAGGCGGCAGCCATTTTGGCGTTGCCCCAGCTCCGCCCCCCGGCGCAGACGGCCCCGCCTCCAAGCAAGCCTAACGCAAAAACAGGAAGTGGGCTCCCAAACCTAGGAGCCCAGCCGGCGGCAAGGTTGGGACTAAGACGGGAGTCAGAGCGTCCTCCCATCAAATCTGTGCCGCTGACTCGGGCTGTCGCCTCTCGAGAAAAGTTGTGGTACCATGTCGAATATGGAGAGTATCCTTTCTCATCTGAAAAACTTGCTAGAGCTTAGGGAAAAGTGGAGAGGGGCTGGGGCCCTGGGAGGAGCCCGGTGGTGGTGACCTTTTAGGTCTAGTTGTGGAGGGGTGAGGGTACTGAACTCTGATTGGTAAGCGCCAGCAGCTTTTTCTGTTATTATTGTTTTCTGGTAGTCGCCGCCATCCTAGAGTCTGGAAGCTAGAGACAGCTTTGGTAAGAGAGGAGTCGCGGGACAGGTTTGAAAAGATTCTCGAGTGCGAACCCTCCCTTCGTTGAGGGCTGCAGTTACTTGCCCTTTCAGTGAATTTATCCACTTAGAAATCCAGGGGTGATGGTGCGGAAACAGGCGGCAGGAGTTTGCCAGAGGTTTGTCGCGGAGTTACAGGTTTTCAGTGTAATATGAGGGCAAATAGCTTTTGTGGAACAACTTTTTCTGCATGGAGGTGACTGATAACAAGATAAAGTGCTTAATACTAGCCCTCCAAAATTAAGTCCTCGCGTGTTAATGATTTGATTTAGCAAATGAGGAAGCTCATATAGTTCTCTAAAGCTGTAAAAATTAATCAGTTGCATCTTTAGTCCCACTTAAGCGATGAAGTTGGGGTTAGGAACCAAACTGTGTGAAGCCCTAAATTGAAGGATTAAACTGCTTTTCACAACTGAAATACCATCACAGGTTTTTCTATATCACTGTAATTCCTTTTTTTAGGAGTTGGCATTATAGAAAATAAGAGTAGCTTGTTATCTTGCCATTGAATGAAACCTGGCAAAATGACAAAATATGGGTAATAGTATTTGGTCATTCATGTTGAAGCTTCTTTTGCCTTCATTAGTTTGTAAGTCTGAAATATAGACTTAGAAGATTAAATTATATAAGCCATACTGGGAATATTGTTAACATATACTATGCTGAACTGTGCAAGATAAACCAAGAATAAAATGTGAACCCTTGAGGAGGTGCAGAAATAGGTCATTTTATGTCCAGAGTAGATTACTAAAAGGCTCAGCTATCACTGCAATTTAAAGTATATAATTTATGGAAGTGTAGTTGTGTTAGATGATGTTTTTATAAGCAGTGGCATAAAGGAAAAGCCACTGAACTGTGAGTCAGAAGATCAATTTCTAATCCCAGTTCCAACTCTTAAGAAACATGTGTAAGTACAAGATATATAGCCTCTGTCATGCAAGGTTTATTCATCTGCAAACATACTGACCTGCCAACCTTACAAAGCTCTTCTGAAGATAAAATGAAATGGAAGGGCATACTAAATTCTAAGACTTTGAACATGCTTTTAAGTATTAAGCTATAGAGTACAAATGTCTTATCTTTCCCCAGAACTTTTGGAAAGATTTGAGATAATAGCTCTAAAATTGCTTTTGTGTTCTACTCTAATAAGGCAAGTTAATTTTGCTCAACCTAAGCCTACCCTATTTGATTTCCAATAACAAGATAATTAGTTACTAATTTTATTTCACTGAAATGTATGTCTGACTATAAATTAATGGTACTGTAATCAATAGTTTAATATGTAACAAAAATGAACTGTTAACTACTCTTTATCAGAGGAAGTGAGGAGGTTTAACTTGACTTACATCATCTGGCAGTGATGACTTTCTCTTTGTTCCATTTTGTAGAATCCAGAACTTTTCCTTAGCATATACAGGAGGAAAATGATGTACAGACTCAGATCTGTCTTCCATAAATAAATAACTTGAACTGAAACTTGAGTAACATTTGTCACCTATATGTAATGCAAAAAATCTCATTGTTACAGTATATAAGAAGATTAAATGGGCTAACACAATTGAATTAGCATGGTAAATGTGACTTCTGTCTTTGGACAGTTAAAACACAATTTATCATGGCAGATTAGATCAAATTTATTCGTTGTAACATGTTCTATAGGTGTTTTAGAAGTATAGAATCAATAGCAATATGTGTTTCAGGAGTAGTGTTTGATTTACTATAGGAATGAAACAAAAGAAATACTCACTACTCCCCTACTGCATACTCTTTTTTTTTTTTCATTTGCTTCTCTGTTTTTACCCCTCTTCTGGCATTTTGTTATTTTTGTTGGACTTAGCTCAAGCACGCTTCGTTTCCAGGAAGCTTTCTGTGTCATCTTTTTAATCTCCTAACCCACAATCCCAAACGAACCTAGAAAACTGAGAACATCAGTTCCCACCAGTTCCTACTCTGTGCTCCTTTCCCCATCTCTTTCCCCCTGCATTTTAGCCTTTTTTTTTTTTTTTACTATTGCAATTATATGTTTACTTATTTATATCTTAAATTAGACTGAGTTTTTTGAGGATAGGGTCCTTATTTAATCTTTGAATCCTCATTTCCTTGTACAGCACACAGCATTTGGTGAACACAAAATGGGTAAATAACCTCTGCTAAGAATTAATCATTGAATTTCTACTTGATAATTGAGTCTCTTCTATGGGCTGAGCAATGCACTCAGGCTGTTGATACAGGGGGTTATAAGACCCCTTCCCAATTCTGAGTAACTTTCGATGTAACTGAACCAGGACACATGAGTGGGGATAAATAGCAATATAAGGTAGTGCATACTTAACTTAGATGAATACTAGAACAGCGATTCTTGATCCCATGTATGGATTTACTAAACTTGAAATTGTATGCAAAATTTTGTATGTTAGTACGTGTTTTTTTTCTCGGGGAAAATATCTATAGCTGATAGCTGTTTCTCCAACCTTAAAAAGGTTGAGAAGTAATGAAGTAGATAATAGGTACTGTATACTTTCTGAGAGTACAGAAGGGGATGTGAACTGGACTGGTATCATTGTCTTTTTTTTGTAGTCTCCTAGGTAGATGAGACTGTTTTAAACAAAGATTGCTAGCCACCTTAACAATGTTCACCATTATTAATTGGTTTATATCCTAAAACATAATTAATTACATATCAGAGTCTCTGCGGCTTTGCTAATGTTGACAAATGTATTGTGATTTTTTTTGCCCAAGATAACAATATTTCAAATTTGCGAATACTGTTACCTGACAGTAGTTTTATAATTTATGGCGTGACTAGCTAGTAGAACATTGTCTTACAAGAAGTATTGCAAGTAAGGATTACTTATGGTTCATCATTTAATGCCATTTGAGGACCAATTCTGAGCAATTCACTATGGAAGTTAAAATGCAAAGAAATAAGAGTTGCTGGATTTGAGTTCTTGTTTATTCTTTTATTCAGCAGTTACTCCTTTATTATCTATCTCTAGGCTTCTGTTTTCATATCTGTAAAATGAAGAAAGTTAAGTGATCTCTAAGGTTCCTTTCAATTCTGATCTCCCTATGTTTCTGTGATCCCTAACTACCTCCAAGAAACTGAAAAAGGGGAAAGTTGGATGCATAATAGCATTTGTCACCAAATGCTATGCATAAAAAAATCTATGGTGTTGGTATCACTGCTATATTCTGGGGCAGGCAGGTGCTAGTGGAACATTTTTATTTTCTTTCTCTTACCTACTTTTATTTTCCTATCCTCTACTTCCTTGTGCCCAAAGGATTGCATAATTCTACTTTTGGCACTTGGAATCAAATAGTTTTCTGCCCTACTGTATTTGGATAACTTAACTTTAACTTCTTGGTGTTGCTTCATTCACTTCAGAGAGGCAGGCCAGACCTGAGATTTCTACTATGAATTTCTGTAGTAAACCAACAATTTTTCTTGAGGTAGCAGATTGAAATCTTAAAGCGAGCCTTCCTTTTATATGCATAATGAATATGTTGCATATAAAATTTAAATAAAATAATTTGTATTTAAATTTTAAAGCAATAAACTATTAAAACATAGCTGATTTCCATTCTTTGTCAGCAGTGTACTCGCAAATAAATGAAATTGCATAAAATGTTTTAAAGAGACAATGGGACTTCTTATTGCCTGACTAACCACACTGCCGAATTAAGATAGGTGACTTAAAGCCATTAGGTGGTAATGACAATTTATTGGACACCAACTATGTGCTAAACTTCGTGCTGAGGATTTTGTATATTTTACCTCAAACTCTCAAAACATCACTGGAAGACAAATGGTAGTAGTCTCATTTTATGGAAGAGGAAATTAAAGCTAAGAAAGCCACAGAGCCTATAAAGGATCTGGCTGAGGCTCCAAAGTCTGCTGTGTTCACTTTTGCACAGTGACTCCACAACTTACAGTGCAATCAGTTATATTTGATGGAGTCCTAGGGTTATGTAAAGCTACTTTTTCTGTATATTGACATTCCACTTTAGATTTTGCTTTAAAAGATTGTGGAAAGCCATGAATCTCCACAATCACTTTAGGGAAAGCCTAGCTTAGATTTCTCTCTTGATGACAAGTCTAGTTCATAATATTTCCTATTAAAAGGTACACCTGTATAATGTAATGTTTTAAATTTTAATTTTGTAGAATTGGAGGGTGGGGAATTAATTTTTCTGAAAATTAGAAATAATTGAAATGTTCAGATGATTCATTGATTTCCTTATTTATCAATCCCAAGGGCCAAATCAGTGAGTTTTCTGCTTTTGCATGGATTTTGGCAGGTGGGGGGAAAACTCATTACCATTAAGGAGGTCTTTAGACCTACCATTACCATGGAGGTCTTTGAGACCAGTTTCTCAGAGTCTGTTATATTGTCTGTGTTAGCCAAAAAGCAAGCATGGTTGTGTCTGCTAAACCTAACAGGGATTAAGAGGAGGGTTCTAGGGAAGGGAGGGAGAAGAGTACACCATGCAAAGGAACTGTATGTGAAGACAGTCAGGTGACTGGTGGAGGCCAGCATTGCTGGTGCACAGAGTGCTGGAGCCTGGAATTTCCCAACACCTAGTTTAGGGCCTTATGGATCATTCTATACATGTTAATAAATATTATTGTTCAGTCTTTCAAAACATTCACCCATCAATCATAAAGTATTTCAGCTATTGTCTTTTCAGTGGGCAAAGAAAAACAAATACGGTCTTTATAGTAATCACTTTGCCAACTTGAATTTATGATTAGTCAGTGAAGGAGATTATTCTGCCAGTGTTATTTTTCCAGGTATCTAAAATATTGCTCAATATATCAAGTCTGGTTCCAAAGCCCAATTTAGTAGTTGAATTGATGCCATTATTTCCCACATCAGCAATCAATTCCCCCGCTTCAAGGTAGAGGATATTCACTTATTGTAGTATACACAGAGTATGATTATTTGAATAACAGATAGTCATATGAGAATTTACTCATCTCATATCCTGTTTGTAGAAAGTACCCAAGAGTTAGAAGTAAGGTTTTAGACCCAAGGAGATTTTGATTTCTGGTCTAGGGCTAAAGATTCCTCATCAGAAAAACACTGGTGTTACAAGTTGTCTGGGCTACCTAGACACATATGAATATATTTGACAATGGTGATAGTCTAAGATATTAGTCCTCTGTGGATTCATGTACTTATACTTATTTCTACTTAAACTGTACTTAAACTGTTGGTAATCTTGCCTCTCTGCCATATTCTAGTATAAGGTTGAGGTCAGGGAATTCTTATTTCTGAATGTGTAGAATTATTTAGAATAGGAAGTAAAAATTTACATGCCCTTATTGTACAGCTAGTCTTATAATAGTTAATATCTCTTAAATTGAAAAGAACTTGGAGAGAGAGAATATGAATGTGTATGCACATGCAATTTCGGCATTCATGGGACTGAATTATTACTCCGTATTTATTAAAGCAAGTGTAATAATAGGGCTGTAGTTTTCAGAACTGCTAGTTATGATTTAATAAATAGTCTCATGCTTTATTTCCTTAATCATTTTTGCATTGTATGAAGTTAAAATATCTGGCAATTAAAAGTAAATTACATTTTAAAAGTATTCAAGAGTATAAAGTTTTAGACTATTTACTAAGCCCCATATCCTTTCAAAGAGAAAATATTCCCAACAGGAACATATAAATTATTTCTGCAAGAAAGTAACTGTTTACATAGAACTCCTTTCCAAAAGGGAAAATTGGCTTCTTCCTCACTCTTAGGTATTTTTATACTTTTAAGGAGTAAACATTTTAAACAGTAACCATTCCATATAATGGGTAATTGAGAAAATTGCCATACATAGGGAAACAGGTTTTGATTTGAGTTGCTATCTGTTTAAATATTCAAATCATAATTTATATTTACATTTTACAAAAGCTATAAGGCACATGTGCCATATATTGCATTAAATCTTGGTGTCTTTGGGCATCACCTCATAATCATACACATTAATATTTGTACACTGAAATGGGTGAACATTAGAATAAAGACTATACATAATTTGTTAATTGAGATTAGGTTTTGTCATCAAATTTTTCTAGTCGGGTTGTTTTGCTACCAAATGTTATATGTAACTTTCAGTTTTCAGAACTTTTCATAATTTGGAAAGGTGAGTAAGTCATCATGGAGATAGGGAGGGAGGGAGGAAGGAAGAGAGGAAGGGGCAATTTTTTGAGGAAACTACACCATTTTCCATAGTGGTTGTACTAGTTTACATTCCCACCAGCAGTGTATGAGGGTTCCTTTTTCTCCACAACCTCTCCAACACTTGTTATTACTTGTCCTGTTGATGATAGCCATTCTAACAGGTGTAAAGTGGTATCTCATTGTGGTTTTCATTTGCATTTCTCTAATAGCTAATAAAGTTAAGCAACTTTACATATGTCTGTTGGCCGTTCGTATGTCTTCTTGGGAGAAGTGTTTGTTTAGGTCCTCAGCCCAGTTTTTATTTATTTATTTTTTTGGTTATTATTCTTGTTGAGCTGTATGAGTTCTTTATATATTTTGGATAGTAGCCCCTTATTGGAGGTGTTGATCCCAAATATCTTCTCCCATTCACTTGGTTGCCTCTTTGTCTTATTGATGGTTTCTTTTGCGAGGCAGAAGTGTTTTAGTTTGATGTAGTCCCGTTCATTTATTTTTGCTTTTACTTCCCTTGCCTTTGAGGTCACATTCATAAAAGTTCCATGAGTTTAGTACTTATGTTTCCTTCTATGCAATTTACTGTTTCAGGTCTTACATTCAGGTTATTCATGTCTTAGATCCACTTTGAGTTAATGTTAATGTATGGTGACAGATAGCAGTCTAGTTTCATTCTTTTACATGTGCTTTCCAATTTTCCCAGCACTGTTTATTGAAAAGGCTTTCTTTTCTCCATTGTATGTGTTTGGCTCCTTTGTTGAAAATTATTTGCCTATATATGCGAAGGTTTATTTCTGGACTCTCAATTCTGTTCCATTGGTCTGTGTGTCTGTTTTTCTGCCAGTACCATGATGTTTTGATTATTGTTGTTTTGTGGTATAATTTGAAGTCAGGCAGAGTGATGCCTCTGGCGTTGGTCTTTTTTCTCAAGATGGCTTTAGCAATTAGGGGTCTTTTGTGCTTCCATACAAATCTGATGATTTTTTGTTCTTTCTTTAAAAAATGCCATTGGTATTTTATAGGGAATGCATTAAATCTGTATATTGCTTTGGCTAATAATGTCATTATAATTTTGTTGATTTTCTGATCCATGAACATGGAATATCTTTCCATTACTTTGTGTCTTCAGTTTCTTTTAATGTCTTATATTTTTTCAGTGTATAGGTCCCTAATATACTTCGTTAAGCTTATTTATAGGTATTTTATTATTTTTGTTGCGATTGCAAAAGGAATTGTTTTTTTCATTTTTTCTTGAAATTTCATTCTTAGTGTATAGGAACACTATGGATTTTTGTATGTTGATTTTGTATCCTTGTATCCTGAAACTACTGTTTTTGTTTATTGTTTCTAACAGTTTTTTAGTGGAGTCTTTAGGATTTTCTGTATAATCATATCATCTGCAAAAAGTGACAGTTTGACTTCTTTATTCTCAATTTTTATGTCTTGTGTATCTTTCTCTTCCTTGATTGCTCTAGCTAGGACTTCTAACACTATACTAAACAAGAGTGGTAATAGTGGACAACCTTGTTTTGTTCCTAATCTTAGAAGGAAGGCTTTTAGTTTTTCACCATAAAGTATGATGTTAGTTAAGGGTTATCTCATATATGGCCTTTATTATGTTGAGGTCCTTTCCTTCTATAACCATTTTATTAACTGTTTTAATGATAAATGGATGCTGTATCTTTTCAGATGCATTTTCTGCATCTATTGATATGATCATATGATTCTTCTCCTTTATTTTGTTTATGTGGTATATCGACCAACTTGCATATGTTGAACCATCCTTTTGCCCCTGGAATGAAGCCCACGTGATCATGACGTATACTCTTTTTAATGTATTCTTGTATTTGATTTGCTAGTATTTTGTATAGGATTTTTGCATCTGTATTCATCAGAAATATTGATCTGTTTTATTTTTTTGTGTTACATTTAACAGGTTTTCGTATAAGGGTAATGTTGGCTTCATGAAATGAGTTAAGAAATATCTCCTCTTCACGTGTTTCGAAAAGTTTGAGAATAACAGGTATTAAATCGTCTTTGAATGTTTGATAGAATTCACTAGTGAAAAAGCCATCTGGTCCTAAACTTATAGGGAAGTTTTTGATGATCGTTTCTATTTCTTTACTATTCATCAGTCTATTTAGATTTTTCAGTTTGCGATACAGTCTAGGAAGGTTGCATATTTCTAAGAACTTGTCCATTACTTCTAGGCTATTGAATATCGTGGCATATGATCTTTCATAGTATTCTATGTATGATATTTTGTATTTCTTAACTTCTCTTTAGTTTACATTTTCTATATTTGTGTCATATCTGTCATAACTTCTCTTTAGTTTATATTTTGTTTGTGGGTTTGTTTTTTTTTTTATGCCAAGAAGCAAAGACACCAGGAAATATGGCTGCTTTGCATCTTGCCCAGTTAGAGAAAACCTACTCACACTGCTACACTTTTGCTTTGGTGTTCATCTAAAGTCATACTGAGACTTAAAACTACCCACTCTTTTTTTTTTTAACTTTTTTTTTCTGACTTTATTGAAATTTATTGAAATTGCTTGTATTTACATTGTACAATGTAAGTTTTTTAAATTATATTTCACATACAATAATATTCCAGTTTCAGTTGTATAGCATAGTGATCAGAGATCCTCATAACTCGCAAAGCAAATCACTCCACTAAATCTAGTAGCCCTTGTCCCCCTTACATATTTATTACATTATTAACCATCTTCCCCATGCTATACTCTACATCTCCATGTCTTTTCTGCAGCTGTCCATTTTTACCTCTTTTATCCCTTTGCCTTTTTTTGCCATCTCCCCAAACCTCCTGCCATCTAGTATCCCTCAAAATATTCACTGTATCTATGAGTTTATATCCGCTTTTGTTGTCCTTGTGGTTGATTTTGTTCTTTAGATTCCATATGTATGCGAAACCCTGCAATATTTGTCTTTCTCTATCTGACCCATTTCCTTCAGCGCTATACCCTCTAAACTATCAGGCAATATCTTTTTCCATCCCTTTCCTTTTAGTCTGTGTGTGTCTTTTAATCTGAAGTAAGTTTCTTGTAGGCAGCATATGTAGGGATCTTGTTTTCTTATCCATTCAGCCACTCTATCTTTTGGTTGGAGCACTTAATTCTTTTCCATTTGAGGTACTTGATAGGAATGTAGTTATTACCATTCTTTATTCCGTTTTTGATACATGTTTTTCCTTCTTAAAGTCGTCCCTCCAACATTTCCTCTAATACTAGCTTGGTGTTGATAAATTCCCTTAGCTTATTTTTATCTGGAAAGCTCTTTATCTGTCCCTCAACTCTAAATGATAGCTTTGTTGAATAAAGTATTTTTGGTTTTAGATCCTGGGTTTTCATCACGTTGACTATTTTGTGCCAAGCCCTTCTGTCCTGCATAGTTTCTTTTGAGAAATCAGCTGCCAGTCTTTTTGGGGGCTCTCTGAGCTTCCTGGGGTTGTATGTCTCTTTTCTTCACCAGGTTAGGGAAGTTGTCCATCATTATTTCTTCAAATCGTTCTTCAACGTCCTGTTTTCCTTCAGATACCCCTGTGACAGATATTTTTATCTTTAATAGTGTCCCATAGTCTCCTTCAATTCTTATTGTACTCTTAACTTCTTTTTTCTGGCCATTCTGATTGAGTGTCCTTGGCTTTACCATCCTCTATACAGGCCATTTATTCACTTTGTTTATTCCATTTAATATAATTTTCATCTCAGATAAAGTGTTCTTCATTTCTGACTGGTTCCCCTTGATCACTTCCATTTCCATTTATATGTTTTTTTTTATCTCTCTGTTAAAGTTCTCACTGGGTTCATCTACTCGTCCCTTAATTTTATTGAGCATCTTTATAACCTATGTTTTGAACTCTGCATCTGTCATATTGCTTGACTCCATTATATCTGGGTCTCTGTTGCGTTCTCTCATATGGTTTCCGTTTCTTTGTCTTCCCATTTTGCCTGCCTTTCTGTGTCTCTTTCTATGTATTAAGCAAAGCTCTTAAGTCTCCCGGTCTTATTAGTGTGCCTTTGTGTAGTAGATGTCCAGTGGCACAGTCCTGAGAGGAGTTCAGCTGCAAGCCAAGTTTAGCCCCAGCCTGTGCCCCTCTGGGGCCACCTCTTAAGATTCAGGGAGCAATCCACAGATGATGTGCTTATAGTTGCCTCAGGAGGCCTCGCCAGAAATCATGGACAGCTGCCACCAGTGTGAATCTAGGTGCTGCTCAACAAAGGGCACCTGACTAAGCAAGGGCACACTTGGATGTGGCTTGAGTGGGGCCATGAGTTGGGGGATGCGGAGTTTCACAGAGTTCTCTGGGCGGTGCTACCTCTGTTACCCAGTTTGATGATATCTCATGGCAGCTCCGAGTCAGCACACTGGGAGCGGGGCGGGCTCAACAGAGGAACAGTGGATACAGAGGCACTTCTGTATAGAACGAATCTCACTTCTGGCCCTTACTTGACAACTCAGTGTCCCGCTGTAAGTCCCTGGGACCCCCTTCCCAGCTGACCCAGCGCTGTTGCTTAGAATGAGTGGGTCCATCACTGCGAAAGTCCTCTCGCAGATACGGCCTTTTTAAGAGGCGTCTGGATCTGCTGGCTGCTGCTGCTATGGCCTTTGTTCCACTCAGCTGCTCCAGACTGAGCAGCCTCGCATCCTTGCCCTATCCTACCTCCTCCTGTCGCTGGGTGATTTCTTCTTTCTCTCTCTAGTTGTATAGCTTGTTCACCTAGATCCCAGGCGATTTTCTTTGCTATTTGCTCCTTGTTTCTGTCACAACTTTGATTTGGTCGCCAGAAGATGCATATTCAGAGCCTCTATCATCCACGCCATTTTTTTTCTCTCTTAAAACTACCCACTCTTATCAGTCATCTTCTCTTTGCAAAAAATTTCCACTAGGTCTAATCTTCACAGTTCTGTTCTTGTTGACTCAGCATTACATGTCCAGCATTTTCATAAGTTATCAAGTCTACTTCTGGGGCAAGTATCAAGGATCCAGACCTTGTAGGTTCAGTGATTTTTAAAACATCATTAAATGTTCTTTAGAATTCTGACATGTTTTAAAATACTGCCACCTGTTTTTGCATTTCTAGAAACACTCATGCTTTATGATGTACCTGCTACAACAGTCATGTATGAAGAAGTGAAGCGAGGTAACAGACAGGAACTTTTAAATATTGGGTTCATCTTCAATTCTCTTCACTTGTTTTTGGCTCCCATCTGTTTGTGAGAGGTCTAATCTAGAAGAAGTATGAAACTTTCCTGTCTTGGCAGGGTGGTTCCAGTTCTCTTCAGGGGCTCCCAGCTCCAATCTGAGTGCCGCCAAGACCTCCAGCAAGCACATTGTAAGCCATCAGAAATTGTCTTGTCCTCTGCATTCTGACCCTGAACCAAAAAGGACCCAAGTCCCACATGCTCTGAGGTGCTGGGAGAGAGAAAAATAACCTCTTTATATGTGTCTTTTAACTTTCTTCCTTAGTGAGTCTAGCCAATGATTTGTTAATTGTATTGATCTTTTCAAAGAACCAGCTCCTTGTTGCCTTATTTTATTTTATTTTATTTTACTTTATTTTATTTTTTATTTATCATTTTATTTTTATTATGATGACTGGTTAAAAAATTTCAGTAAGTTTCAGGTGTACAATTCAATAGTAAGGCATATATATATACTGCATTGTATATTCACCACCCATATATTTCTTTCTGTCACCACATATTTGACCCCTTTTACCCCATTTACGTCCCCACTTGCCCCTTTCCCCTACACTCTGCTAACCACTAGTCTATTGTGCATGTCTGTTTGTCCTGTTCATTTGTTGGTTTTAGGTTTATATCCCACATATAAATTATATCATGTGGTTTTCAACTTTTTCTGTCTGGCTTATTTCGCTTAGCATGATTATCTTGAGGTCCATTCACATTGTCACAAATAACAGTATTTCATCTCTTCTTATGGCTGAGTAATATTCCATTCTATATATATATTACACGGCTTTTTTAGCCAATTATATAT